GACATATTATTCAAACGGATGTCTACTTGGATTCACTCATATAGACGTGCTTGCATACCTCTTTGCTTTTATCTTAGCATGTTACATTTCTCATCAATATGAATAAAGATATGTGTGTGTACGCATGCACAAATAATAATTAACAAATAGGAAAGATACAAAAGCATACTTACTGTTTAGTTGTAATATTTCTATTATCAATAAGACATACTTTTGAAGTTAAATACTTTTCAGTCAATTGACATGAGTTATACTCTACTAACGATTATATATTATTATTATAAAGGAAAATTTTCTGATTTTGATTATCACAATTTGCACAAATCTAGCTAAGCATATAAACTTTGAAGAGAGAAAAAAAAAGAAAAGAATTCATATGTCGATTACGTCAACATCTATGCATGAAAATAAAAAAAAATGAGATTGTTTTACTTTATTAAAAAGGATATAGAGCTTAAATTGACAGCTCGTGAACAATCACAATAAGGAAAGAGAAACGTGTTAGAATGTAAATAAATAGTAGCATAGCATAGGACTAATACCGAACAGTATTTTTCAATGGTCCAAGTCTTTACCAATCAGAAAAGCTATGATTTTGATTGGTTAAAACTAATCATGAAAATAAACAGTTTGGTTTTGTCTGTATATTTGGATTACTTTCTTCTTTTTTTTTGTTAGGATGTCGAATTTACCGACAACTTTTCTAACGCATTCTCAAAGAGTTTGTCGTTTATATAAACAATTATTTGCACTTGCTCGTCGTGAAGAATGGCCAAATAGGTTTATATCTTCGTTTTCTATTGTTTTTTCTTAATACTTGTTTTTTTTTGGTAACAGATTGACTTACCGTCAACGTATGGTCGAATATCGAGCTCGACTTGATGCTAATAAAAATGTTCAAGATTTAATGAAAGCAAAACGATTATTAATTGCTGGAGAAGAAGAATTGAAAAAAGCCATGTATTGGCATACAGAAAATTTCAATTGTAAGTATAGAATATCTTATAAAACTAAAAAAATCACGTCTTTTTTCTAAAAAAAATAGTTCCTGAATCTCCTAATGGTATTGCTGATAGTCGATTTCCAACACCAGATGATGCTGTAAGTAAAACAAAAACAATAAAATATTCTTAAATATTTATTTTTATTTAATAAAAGGCACTTGATGCATGGCATCCAATGGAAAAAGCTCAATATCCAACATATTTTGCAACGCGTGAAAAACGAAAGAAAGCTTATATGGAATGGTATCTTAAACGATATGGAATACCTGATCCTCCTATGATGTGAACATTCGTTTTTTATCCTACGAGTTTTTTTCCCTCAGATTGTAAAGTAGATTTTTGTCCTTTTTTCATCCCTTATTATGATTATATTCGTGGATATACATATACACACACACATCTTCCGATTTGAAACAGACCTCATATTGTATATGCCAATATCACAGACAATAGATTGTTTCATGTTAGTATAAAGTTAAAATATAAAAATGATCTTGTATAAAACAGACATTGACATTGATAATAACCATGATATCTATTGTATAGATTTGATAGGAATGAAAATACAATTTCTTTAACGTCTGTTTTTAACATGAACATAATCTATTGATATTTCTTTTGCATAATATGATCAGCAATGAATTATCTTCATATTTTCTTTAATTAAAAAAAAAAAGAATGAATTTTTATTAATTAAAATCAAATCGATTTAAATGCGAAGTTACAATGTTTTGTAAAATTTATAAGTTATGCATGAAATTAAAATAAATTTTTTATTATGTACAGCGCCATCTTACTAATTGTTAAAAAAAAATGAATTCACTTTTATTTCATAGTTACTGTGTTCGACAGGATTGGTGTCCTGTTTTTATAGCAACTCAACATGGATTGATAAAAGTGTACTCATCAATCTTTGATCGAGGGCAAAAAGAAAAGAGAATGATTTGAAAATGTCTTAAAATTGCAAATTTTTCAATTCGATACATAAAAAGGTAAGCTTCACATGTGATAGATTGATTTAAACTATCAAATATCCATTCATCGAATTTTTATTGTATACGTTAAATATTACCTTGATATTCTATTTCAAAATGAATTCGTATATAATTATTTTTAAAATTTCTTTACTTCGACAAATGTTAAGATCAATATTAATATGATATAGCCAAAGAAGAGATGTAAGTAATTTATTCTTACGACATTTTATTGAAAATTATTTTTCTAAAAACAAATATGCTGAACATGATCGTTATATTTTAGTAAAAATCTCGCTATAAAATATATTAAAATTCGATAGCGGAAAACATGAGAAATAGTTCGTTTTTCAAATAAGATTCTATATTCAATTTTCGTCGTTTTTTTTCATGAAATTCGGATTAGTTTAGTAATATATATTGAAGATATTAGTATTTGAGGAACTGATTGAATAGAAAATGTCAATATTCATTCTTCTGAAGTAGAAAAAAAGAGTACTGAGTAATCGAATGATAATTTATGTTATATTTAATAATATTGATTAAAAGTAATTTAATGCTAATATTTGTCTTTATCTACGTCAGTCATGATAAACTAAAAGTTCAGAATACATAGAAAAACATCAAAATTTTTCTTATTATATTTCAAACTCTTAGTTCCAATTGAAAATTTTACAGAAGAATATGTAGATACATAATAACATGTAATAGAACGGTATTTTTGTATCGTGTCATATGAAGATTGAAAGTATAATCAGAATAGAATGTAATTAAATTAGTGTATAAATCATGTCTTTAAATCGAAGAATACAACTTGACTCATATATATATATGCGTTTTCTACTCAAAAAGATAAGATTTTCATCCTTTTAGTGTACATAATTGCGCTTTATAAATCAATCGAAATGCATAATTTATTATTTCGATCAGAGCTCCGCACGGGATAGGATGGGACAGAATTTTCGTCCCGCTGGTCGATGTAACTCATCCCATGGGATTCACTGAAAAACAATCTTTATCTCCTCCCATGGGATATGTCAAAAATAAAATGTCGTCCCATCCCATGCGAAACCCTAATTTCGATTACAATTAAGTTTATACATCATCTAAGGTTTGAGTGGATGATGGACAACCTTCGTTTATACTCAACTCTCACGTAATACTGGATTATGTTCTTCGCGTCTGAATATGCGTTAAAAGAAGTTACTCTAAAGTATTGAGCAATATTGCCTATGCAATAAAATATCAGTGAACATGATATTATCTACTTAGAATTCACCAAAATGTTCTTTGCTAGTCTAACGTTCATAGTTGAATTAGAAGAAATTAGTAAAAATCGCTGGCTAGTTTTCTATATGAAGATTATTTCTTCAGCAATTTGACTGCAGTTTCGTTAATACTCAGATGAATCAAAGAAGTGTTCATTAAAAGATAATTTGTCACTTTTACTTAGAATTGTTTAATGAAAGTTCTATTTATAATGATATTTCATACATAAGCCTCACACTTACTTCACAGCCTGATAAAAATTTTGCTCTCGATCTCTCTTTCTAATTTAAAACAGAGATGAAGTCTGTAAGAACTCTAAGCAAGAAAAACATCGGTACCATATAGGTGGTAATATGAAGGTTAATTTTATCAAATAAGAGCAATTATATTCACATTACCATTATTACGTTTTTACAATGGCGTGTCATATGAATGATAAAAATCAGTCATAATGATTATCATATATCGTAAAGGTGAAAAATAACGGGTGAATATCGAATAAGATTATATACCTAAGATATAATACTACACAAAAACATCATGAATGTAAAATTTGTATGTTTCATTTTCTCTCATTATATTTTTCGAATATTCTACGATAAGGTAAAAAAAACAAAAATATCTATAGTAGATAATAAAAATAAATGTATGTACTACATAATAGTGGGAGATGAAATTATTCAACCAGAACTTCCTGCGAGATTTTATTCACCTACGTTTATTTTATGCGTTAATTTTGCATAACACATTTTCATTAATCGTTTATTTAAACAAAATTAGGGATTATTAAGTTAGCATCAAATTACTAAAATCTTAGAAAACGTTAAATTATGTATTCTTATTAATCAGGAGTACGTATGAAGTAAAATGAACAGAATATACTTAGATTAGTAGAAAAATATGAGATAGAAATAAAAACAGAAAAATTTTAGGCTAGGAGCCAGATAATAAACAAAAAAAACTACATTTCAGGTAGTATACAATCAACTGATGAAATACAAAACTATACAAATATCATAATAATAAGATAGTTTAAAAACCAGATTCTTCTCGATATTTATCTTTGACACGATTAGCCATTGATGTTAAATTATTAAGTGATTGAAAAAGACCATAATAATGATATTTTAATTCATCTTTAATTGCTTCATGTGATGCAGTTCCAGATGATGTTGAGCTGTGTTCAGATTCATCATATGAACCTGTTGATGATGCTGAAGAAAATTGATTATTATCAGATATTGAAACAATTATTCCTTCATCATCATTAGAATGTTGTCTTTGTTTGTTATTTAAATCAGTATTATTATCATTAACGTCTTCAGCAAATGGACACATACATTGTAGTTGATTTCGCATACCACGAACAAATGTATAAACTTCATGCCAATTTTCTACTTGAACTGAGTTTTCAGAAATTATTTCTATAAGAAATAAAACCACATAGTAATATGACATAGCAAAGAAACTTTAGTTAATCTTACCATCAACAGACATATCTTTAAGTTTTGTTGGTAACATTATTTCATCTTCCATATTTTTTGTAGCTTGAAAAAATTCATCCATAGTATCGAGAAGAACTGGTATAGAGAATGATGTTGCTAAACGTCGATTACGAGAATCAGTTTTTATTGCTGACAAACTATGACGGTGTTGATTATTAATAGACTGATTTTTTTTCCGTATTGTACTTGTTAGTGATGATTGTCTGACTGGTTTTTGAATAGACTGAGACATGTGTTCTGATTTTCTAGAAGATAAATTCGAAGAGCTACTTGTTGGTCTTATTATCGTATCGTTGATTTTCATATCTGTTCAAAATAAATCGATGTGGCTACAGAAATCGACTTATATTATAGGTAGTAACAGAAAGAAAAAGAGAGAAAAAAACGTAGGAGAGAAATGAAGGCTTTTTTTCTTCGTTCTCCCAAAACCACTGCGTGTCATTGCGAGAGAAAGCGAGAGAATAATAGATGTAAAAAAAACCCATACACGAGAAAAAAAGAATAATCTGTTTTTTGTATAGACGATAATACTAACCCACTCATCCAACGAATGTCAATAGCCTGATAAATATCTGATATTATGCTAAAAATATTTTGTTTATTCTTTGTATAATCAAAAATTACAAACAATCAACAAGATAAAACATTTTATTATGCATTAAGATTATACTTAGCAAATATTCTTAAAATGCAAGAAAAATGTACATTAATGTATCTCCATCGATTTTATTTGACAAATAAACAAATATTTTTCTATCCACCTACATTTAATATACAAAAAAACAGTCATTCAACACAACGTACCTTTTTTATGTAACGAATAAAAAATGAGTATAATTACTATTTCATATATATTTGTTTTGATGATATCATAGGTATACTCATCATATATCAGCTGTGTCATCCTTTGTTTCGTAGTTAAACAAATATGCTATATAACTTTGTTTTTATCTTTACCATTGTTTAATGATAATTTGTAAACTATAAATCATCGAGAACAATAAACTTTTTAAACGAATCAGTATTATCCAGCTAATGTTTTTTTCATAAATGTCAACTAAATGTATTATTTAAGTAAAACAAAAGAAGGATTGCTTAAAACGCAAAAAATTGTATTTATAGATTTTTGAGAAGAATAAAATTATTTATTACAGATATTTAAAAGTAAAATATTTATTCGAGAGAATGGGTTCACCAGTGAATCGAGATGATATTGCAAGATTAGCAACAGATTTTTATAGTTTATTGGAATCATTTAAACAAACACCATTTTATCATTTAATATTTGAAATTTTTTTAATATTAACGGTTTTGTGGCTTGTTTGTTTTCGTAAACCACGTCCTATTGCAAAAAAATTAACTGAAAAAGAAAAACAAGAATTAATCGATGAATGGCAACCGGAACCGTTAGTACCACCCGTTGATACAAATCATCCAGCATTAAATGTTCGAGTTTTAGATGGTATTGTTGGTAAAACAATTGAAATAGATGGGAGAAAAAGTCTTAATTTTGCAACATTTAATTTTCTTAATTTTGT